GCCAGGGTGTTCTTCATAGTATTCCAGTACGTTTAACATAACTCTCATATTGTCTCTTAATTGTCATGATGGTAAGAATCCTTTTTGGTCAGAATGTATGAATTCATTCAAAAATCCTTTTAGTCTATTTGCTAGAATTGTGGTAAAAATTTTGTAATCTGAGTTCAGAAGGGAAATTAGTCTATAGTTTTTTATGTCTGATGAGGGGGGGTCTTCTTTTTTTTTTTTTTTTGATTTCTATACTGCCCTACTCCCGAAGGACTCAGGGCGGTGCACAGCCAAACAATAAAATACATACATACAAAATTTAAAAGTGGAATTAAAATTGAATTAAATAGTTTTGGCCCAAACAAATTAAAACCCTAATCAATTTAAAACCAATTTTAAAATTTGAATATATAAAATACTAAAAAATATTAAAAATTTAAAAATCTTTTATAAAAGAGGGAGAAAATTAGGCCAGGCCCGCCTGGTGAAATAAAAAGGTCTTTAAGGCACGGCGGAAGGTGCACAGATCCGGGATCCTCCGTATCTCCGGGGGGAGCTCGTTCCAGATAGTAGGTGCCCCCACAGAGAAGGCTCTCCCCCTGGGGGCCACCAGTCAACATTGTTTGGCCGACGACACCCAGAGGAGCCCCTCTCTGTGGGAGCGTACCGGCCGGTGGGAGGTTATTGGTGGTAGTAGGCGGTCCCGCAAGTACCCAGGTCCTGAGCCATGGAGCGCTTTAAAGGTGGTAACCAAAACCTTGAAGCGCACCCGGAAGACCACCGGGAGCCAGTGCAGCTCGCGCAGGAGGGGTGTTACATGGGAACGCCATGTCGCTCCCATTACCACCCGCGCGGCCGCACTCTGCGCTAGTTGGAGCCTCCGGGTGCTCCTCAAGGGGAGCCCCATGTAGAGAGCATTACAATAGTCCAAGCGGGAGGTGACAAGGGCATGAGTGACTGTGCGTAACGAGTCCTGATCCAGAAAGGGACGCAACTGGCGGATCAGGCGAACCTGATGAAAAATCCTCCCGGTCACGGCCGTCAAGTGTTCTTCTAAAGACAGCCGTGAATCCAGGAGGACGCCCAAGTTGCGAGCCCTCTCCGTGGGGGCCAGTGATTCGCCCCCAATAGTCAGCGATGGCGTCAACTGACTATATCGGGACATCGGAAACCACAGCCACTCGGTCTTGGATGGGTTGAGCCTGAGCCTGTTCCTCCCCATCCAGATCCGCACGGCCTCCAGGCACCAGGACATCACTTCAAGGGCATCGTTGGGGTGGTCTGGGGTGGAGATGTACAGCTGGGTGTCATCAGCATACTGGTGGTACTTCACCCCAAAACCACGGATGATCTCGCCCAGCGGCTTCACATAAATGTTGAACAGGAGGGGTGAGAGGACCGACCCTTGTGGCACCCCACATATGAGGGCCTCAGGGTCGACCTCTGCCCCCCTGTCAACACAGACTGCGACCGGTCAGAGAGAAAGGAGGAGAACCACTGCAACACAGTGCCTCCCACCCCTAACTCTTCCAACTGGTGCAGCATGATACCATGGTCGATGGTATCAAAAGCTGCTGAGAGATCTAACAGGACCAGGACAGAGGAGCAACCCCTGTCCCGAGCCCTCCAGAGATCATCTACCAATGCGACCAATGCCGTTTCCGTGCTGTACCCGGGCCTGAAGCCCGACTGGAACGGATCCAGATACGACGTTTCATCCAGGTGCTGGGGGAACTGATGCGCAACCACACTCTCAACAACCTTCGCCACAAAGCGATGGTTGGAGACCGGACGATAGTTTACCAACATTGCCGGGTCCAGGGAAGGCTTCTTGAGGAGAGGCCACACCACCGCCTCTTTCAAGGCGGCTGGAAAGTCACCCTCACCCAACGAAGCATTTATAATCCCCTGGAGCCAGCTTCGTGTCACTTCCCAGGAAGCCAGCACTAACCAGGAAGGACACGGGTCCAATAAACAAGTGGTCGCGTTCAGTCTGCCCAGAATCCTGTCCAAGTCCTCAGGGGTCACAGGATCAAACTCATCCCAGATAACATTCTCAAGACCTGCCCCAGTCTCTCCCCCTGAGACTATCCAGTCAGAGTCCAAATCTTCCCGAATCTGAGTGATTTTGTCATACAGATACTGAACAAAATCCTCGACTCTACCGTCCAAGGGGTCCTCCCGCGCTTCCTGGTGGAACAGGGAGCGGGTCACCCTAAAGAGGGCGGCCGGGCGGTTATCTGATGACGCAATAAGAGCAGCAAAATAGCTACATTTCGCTGCTTTTATCACCACTAAGTAATTCGTAATATGGGATCTTACTAGTGTCCGGTCAGATTCAGAAAGACTGGCCCTCCAACTACTCTCTAGGCGTCTTTTCCGGCGCTTCAACTCCCTCAGCTCCTCGGTAAACCAGGGAGCCAATTGAGATCGGCGCCGGGTCAGAGGCCGCAAAGCACGACCCGATCCAGAGCTCCAGCGGCCGCCCTATCCCAGGCGGCCACTAGCTCTCCAGTAGAGGCATGTGCCAGAGCCTCAGGAAATGGCCCAAGCTCCATCTGGAATTCTTTAGGAATCAAACTAATTTTAGCCTCTCTCCATGAGTAGGGAATTTCCGCTTTCCCCACTATCTCATTAAATAGGTCCTTCATATGCTCTCCCATAGTCTCAAACATTGTTTTGTATAATTCCGCTGGAAGTCCATCTGTGCCCGGCGTTTTTAGATTCCCCTGTTTCTTTACTACTTTTTCAATCTCTTCTAAAGTAATTTCTTCATCTAATATTTCTTTCGTTAAGTTCGATAACTTGGGTAAATCCAAATTCTCTATATAATTTATAATTTATCTTTTATTAAGTTCCCTTCCTTGTCTTCTAATTGATCAATTCGTCTAATCTGTTTTTCTTTTTTTAATCTAAATGTAAGCCATTTTCCTAATTTATTTGCTGATTCAAAGTGTTTTTGTTTTGCTAACTTTATCTTATCTTTCAATTTATCCAATTCCAGGAGATTAAGCTGATGTCTTAAAATTATTATCTGTTCTTTTGCTCTTACCGAGAGTGGATTATCTTGTAATTGTTCCTCGACTTTTATTAATTTGCTTATTAACTCACCCCTTTCTTGTTCTTCTTGCAAGATCCAGACTGAACAAGTAGCAACCCACCACTGGTCATAAGTGCGAAGACCAATCTTAAATCACTTCTTTCAGCACCACTATAACTTTGAACAGTTGCTAGGCAAATGGTTGTAAGTCAAGGACGATCTTTATTTACATAAAGTGCTTGAGCAACACCATTCCCAGCCATTCCGCAAGCATCTTTTCTGACATGTACCTTTTATATCATAGCTCTAAAACCTGTGACATATTCTTTGTCTTCCTCCGAGGATAACTTTTGCACCTGCCTGTTTATAGTCACTTAACAGTAACTTAACAAAAACCAGATGTTTCTTTTCATGCGTTTTGTAGATATGGGAGCACCTTGGATATACAGTCCATTTTTATAACCGCCTATTGTCCAATGACCACATTAACAAAATTAATAAGGGTTTATTAATAAATGCAGTGGATTTCAAGAACTATTTCCAGTTATGAAATATTAATTATTGGCTTGATTAATAAATAAGTGCTATGAATTGCAAACACCATATATACACAATACATTATATAAATTTAGCATTTTCACATCAGCTGTATTTTCCAAAGATATAATGCCAATTATAAAGATTCTGTTTCACTGAGCAGCTTCATTTGAGAAATGATTCCATTCCACAAATTTACCTGTTTTTTGAACTTATAGTTAACCAAAATATAAAGATTATTGCAGATTTTCCATGTTGTGTTTTTTATTTGATAAATTACTACCTAAAATAATGATAAACAAGGCAGAGTTCAGCTAAACTGTTCAGCTAAGCTCAAACTGCCCAAAGAGCTGCTTATACAGTTCTACAGAGGAATTACTGAGTCTGTCACCTGCACCCCTATAACTGTCTGGTTTGGTTCTGCAACCCAAAAAGACAGTCACAGACTTCAGAGGATAATTAGAAGTGCAGAAAACACAATTACTACCAACCTGCCTTCTATTGAGGACCTGTATACTGCATGAATCAGAAAGAGGGCTGTAAAAATATTTATAGACCCCTCACATCCTGGACATAAACTGTTTCAACTCCTACCCTCAAAACGACGCTATAGAGCACTGCACGCCAGAACAACTAGACACCAGAACAGTTTTTTTCCCTGAATGCCATCACTCTGCTAAACAAATAATTCCCTCAACACTGTCAAACTAGTTACTAAGTCTGCACTACTATTAATCTTCTCATCGTTCCCACCACCCATCTCCTTCTACTTATGACTGTAAGACTGTAACTTTGTTGCTTGTATCCTTACGATTTATATTGATATTGTTTCTTGATTGCTTATTTGTACCCTATGACTATCATTAAGTGTTCTACCTTATGATTCTTGATGAACGTATATTTTCTTTTATGTACACTGAGAGCATATGCCCCAAGACAAATTCCTTGTGTGTCCAATCACACTTGGCCAATAAAAAGTTTTATTCTATTCTATTTTATTAATCACTGCACTGCCATGGCTCAGTGGTTAGAATGCAGTTCAAGCTTTGTTCTCATTGCCTGAATTACATCATGTATTTTTGCTCTATATTCATCCCAAAAAGCTCTAATATTTATGTGTTATAAAAATGCGCAAAAAGTTCACAAAATATAGGGTTTTGTGATGTTTATTATAATAATTATAGAAACTACTAATATATTCTAGTTCTAATACTATCTAATATCTACTATCTAATATATCTAAGTTTTAATACTAATGTCTACTATCTAATATTGCCTAGTTCTAATACTATCCACTATTTACAATCTATTATGTCCTAATAATATCTAATATCTACTATCTAATATATCCTAGTTCTAATACTAGTATCTGTTATCTAATATTGCTTAGTTCTAATACTATCTACTATTTACTATCTATTATATCCAAGTTCTAATACTAACATCTGCTATCTAATATCTCCTAGTACTAATACTATCCAGCATCTAATATCTACTAGTTCTATGGGCTTGACTGGAATCACCCAATGCAAGCCATCATTTGTCTATCAAACCTCATCATGGGGTTTTCTTACTGGGTGAAGATTTGTTTTTCCACCCTTACCCTCCATGCTTAAATTAGAGTTTGGATCATTGCTACTCAAGATGCGGTACGGACCAAACAGTTTTTCCAGAAGAAGCCTTTTTTTCCCCGGCAATATCTTGGGACTGTTATCTTCAGTGGGAGTGGAAGCGGTGTCTTTTTGTCTTTTCTTGGGCAATTTGTAAAAGGAGGGCTCATAACTGTTGACAGAATCACCTAAAAAGTCAGCTATATCACCCTGTTGCCTGTTCCTTCGTCTTCTCTTGCATGTTATCTTTGGACCTGTTGAAGGATATCCCTGATGTAAATTTTGAATGGCCTCTGAAAATACATGCTGTTTTTTAGAGGTAGATGGTGTTCTCTGCCTTTCTAGTGTTAATATGTCACAAACAGCTTCTTTTACCTCTTGATCTTCGTTTTCCTGGTTTTCAACTGGTTTGGTCTTTAATATCTCAAATTCTGCGTCCAATAGGACCAACCCTTGCCTGTCTCTCCTGTTTTTGTGTTTTCTACTCTTGGGCAGATCTCTTCACTTTATAATCCTGCAAAAAATGTTATTTCAGCCGTAACTATTTAGAAACATCCATTATTTGTAGGAGAAAACAACAGTGACAAAAGTACATTACAAGTAGTCCTTGACCTACGACCATGTTAAGTGAATAATAACACGGTTGTTAAGTGAATCTGGCTTCCGCATTGACTTTAGTTGTTGGAAGGTCGCATAAAAGGATCACATGACCCAGTCATAAATATGAACCAGTTGACAAGCATCTGAATTTTGATGATGTCACCATGGGGATGCTGCACTGGTCATAAGTATGAAAAATAGTCATAAGTTACTTTCTTCAGTACCCTTGTAATTTTGAATGGTCACTAAATGAACTGTTGTAAGTCAAAGACTACCTGTATTCTATCTAGTGTTACAAATTATTTAAACTGGCACCTTCAGTTAAAATAAACTGTCCAAGAAACTTATTCCACATTCTGTATTTCTTCTGAAGAGCAGACATTATTCACAATAACACGGATCAGTTATAAAATAAAGCATTATAGCACAATGTTTGACTCCTTCAGCAAAAGGTATGTCATGCGATTTTTACAGTTCAATATTTATAGTCATTTATGGTTTTTACCCAAGAATGTCCTGTTTGAAACGTTGTGCACTGGTAATTTTTCAGGGAGATGAACTCCTGTTTCAGGGACAAGTTTTTTAGCTATGTTAACTAATTCTTTCACTTCTGTTGGTTTTCAATTCCTAAAAGGTTACAGAAAAAAGCAGATATCTGTAAGTGTATGTTACCTTTTATGTATATAAGTGACAAAGTGTTGTTAAATCTCCATTTATATCCTGCCTTCCATTTTATTTTTCTCTGTCTAATAAAGTGTCTCTCTAAAGTCTCCCAATATTGAATTAACATAGTTTTAAATTATAATCCAAAATAGGAAAACATAAATAAATAAGGGCTTTGTTTTTATTTATTTCTTAGATTTATATCTCCTTCAAGTCTTCCATATTTCTTCCAAAATTTCTTTACAATAGAAACTCCATATTATTTGATTGATAGTCACTAAAGCAAAGTTGCCTATGGCATTGCGAGTCAAGATGGACTTGAACCTAGAATTCCCTTGAGGTATTCAGCATTTTAATTAATACCAGAGAACCCACGACTCCTTTGGTCGTTGTTTCAGAGATACCACCTTACCACATTCCTCAATGCCTTCAACAATAACAGAGCTTCTAATGCACTGTCTTCACTAGAAAAGTTCTTAACAATTCAGGAAGATATTCAGACATGTATCTGCCTTGAAAATTGCCAGGTTGAACTGTATAAAATGGTCAAAAATGGACAGCTGACCCCAGGAAATATTTTCTGACATTTTGTCTTATTATAATTTTATGTCATGAAATTTGTCCAATTTCAATTCCTCAGAAGCCGTGTGCATCAGTTTTTAGCATAGAATGCACTAACTTGCTTAACAACCAGAATGTTTGCTTAATGATTGCAGCATCTGTTTTACAATTGAAGTAAAACCCGGTTGGTCAGGGGGATGCCTTTATTTACGAACATCATAACTTACAATGGAAATTCTGAGTTCCATTACAGTCATTATTTGAGGACTGTCTATGTTGGATAGCAGCAGCATGATGGGAAGATGTTAGATAATCGCTTAAGTGGCAATGATAAGGGGGTATTTCATACTGCATGGGATCAAAAATACAGAGGTACACTAAGGGGTGAGACAGATAATCGCCCAGCCGCCCTGTTCAGGGTGACCCGCTCCCTTCTCCATCTGGGAGCGCGGGAGGACCCCTTGCAGGGCCGAGCTGAGGATTTTGTACAGTATCTGGATGATAAAATAACTCAGATTCGGGAAAACTTGGCCACTGACTGGGTTAGTTCAGACGAGATGACTGAGGCAGGCCTTGAGAATGTTATCTGGGAGGAGTTCGATCCTGTGGCTCCCGAGGACGTGGACAGGATCTTGGGACGGCTGAACGCCACCACATGTTTATTGGACCCATGTCCGTCCTGGTTGGTGCTGGCTTCCCGGGAGGTTACACGAGGCTGGCTCCAGGGAATTATCAATGCTTCTTTGAGTGAGGGTGTCCTGCTGGCCGCCTTGAAAGAGGCAGTAGTGAGGCCTCTCCTCAAGAAGCCATCCCTGGATCCGGCTGTTTTGGCTAACTATCGTCCAGTCTCCAACCTTCGCTTTATTGCGAAGGTTGTTGAGAGTGTGGTGGTGCGACAGCTTCCACAGTACCTGGATGAAGCTGTCTATTTGAATCCGCTCCAGTCCGGTTTCAGACCTGGGTACAGCACGGAAACGGCATTGGTCGCGTTGGTGGATGATCTCTGGAGGGCTCGGGATAGGGGTTACTCCTCTATCCTGGTCCTGTTAGACCTCTCAGCGGCTTTTGATACCATCGACCATGTTATCATGTTGTGCCGGCTGGAGGGACTGGGAGTGGGGGGCACCATTTTGCGGTGGTTCTCCTCCTATCTCTCCGACCGGTCGCAATCCGTGTTGACAGGGGGGCAGCGGTCGACCCCGAGGCGCCTTGTTTGTGGGGTGCCACAAGGGTCGGTCCTCTCACCCCTCCTGTTCAACATTTATGTGAAGCCGCTGGGTGAGATCATCCGTGGTTTTGGGGTAGAGTTCCATCAATACGCTGATGATACTCAGCTGTACATCTCCACCCCAGACCATCCCAACGATGCCTTGGAAGTGATGTCCCAGTGCCTGGAGGCCGTGCGGGTCTGGATGGGGAGAAACAGGCTTCGACTCAACCCTTCCAAGACCGAGTGGCTGTGGCTGCCGGCGTCCCGGTATAGCCAGCTGACGCCATCGCTGGTTATTGGGGGTGAATCATTGGCCCCCACGGAAAGGGCCCGCAACTTGGGCGTCCTCCTGGATGCATGGCTGTCCTTAGAAGGGCATATGACGGCCGTGGCCAGGGGAGCTTTTTATCAGGTTCGCCTGATACGCCAGTTGCGCCCCTTTCTGGATCGGGACTCCCTACGCACAGTCACTCAAGCACTCGTCACTTCTCGTCTGAACTATTGTAACGCTCTCTACATGGGGCTCCCCTTGGGGTACACCCGGAGGCTCCAACTGGTGCAGAATGCGGCCGCGTGGGGGATTATGGGAGCGACTGGGCGCTCCCATGTGACTCCTCTCCTGCGCGAGCTGCATTGGCTTCCGGTGGACTTCCGGGTGCGCTTCAAGGTGTTGGTGATCACCTTTAAAGCGCTCCATGGCTTAGGGCCAGGGTACTTACAGGACCGCCTTCTGCCACCAATAGCCTCCCACCGGCCAGTTCGCTCCCACAGAGAGGGCCTCCTCAGGGTGCCGTCGGCTAGACAATGCCGGCTGGCGACCCCCAGGAGGAGAGCCTTCTCTGTGGTGGCACCTACCCTTTGGAACAATCTACCCCCAGAGATACGAGTGATCTCCGACCTCCGGACCTTTCGTCGGGCCCTAAAAACTCATCTCTTTCAGTTAGCCGGTCTCTCTTGATTTTATGATTTTATGGTTGGTTTTAAATTTTGATATGGATTTTAAATTGATAAATTTTAAACTATGGGCCAAATTTAATTATTTTAAATCTATTTTTAATCGTATTTATGTATAAATGTTTTTATTTTGGCTGTTCACCGCCCTGAGTCCGAAAGGAGAAGGGCGGTATAGAAATTCGAATAATAAATAAATAAATAAAATAAATAAATATACTCTCATTAATTATTCAACCTATATGATGTATGTATATGAGGGAGGCGGGATTGGGGGGAAATGACTGTGGCATTAAATTTCGAGGAAGAAACAATAATAATAGATCTTGAGCATGTAGCTCTAGAGAGATGGGCAACTACGTTATATAAATTTGACAAAAATATAAATAAATTTGCCTTTTATTAATACTTTTTGCTTCAAAATACATGATTTAACTCATTTTTATAATGGCAGTATGGCATGAGGGAATAAAGCAATTTCAGTTCCAAAGCCAGACTTATATCCCAAATTAAAAGGCTCCAGAAGTCATCAAAATATAAATGAGATTATACCTAGGTATCATTTAGCTATGATCTATATAACAGACATATACACTAAAATCCTGTAACAAAGGACTTTTGAATTTAGTGGGGTTTCTTAGTAAATACCCATAAAACTCTTATCCCCTTATCTCTCCCATCTAGAGAGAACGATGAGAATGATCCTGTTTAATCATGACTCATGACTACTACATAAAGAGTTCACAAAATGCAGTATTGCCATTTTAAAAAAGAAAATAGAGCAAATACTTTATTTTCTAAAGATTCTGAAAGATAAATATCCTTTTATTCTGGAACTGTGAAGTTTGTGATCAAGTTTTTTTATTTTTACAATTCATAAACAATTAATTAAATTTGACCTTAAAGGTCCTTCCAAAAAGTTTTGATACAAAATAGTTATGACATTAACCAAGTATGCAGTATTAAATATGTACTATAATTACAATGTAAATATTAACTGCTTCTCAATTTTCTATCAATACAGACCTTGATTAATATGTTTTCATGTTGGGACACACTTTTCAAGTACTGTCTATTCTTGGTAATGTGCAAATGGACTAACATAAATTAATACATTTCTGCAATCTAGAGTTTAGATAGTTACAGGCTGAAAGAAAGCACCAGAAAACAAGATAGGCTCACCTCAAATGAGCCTTTAGTGAACAGCATCTTGGATGCCTTCCAGGGTAAGAAAAATGTAATTTAAGCATCTAAATACCTTAAGTTTTAGCTTCAGCGACTCGATTTCTACGTGTAAATTTTCTGTGATTGACTGAGCTTCAGTAGTCTTTTTTTTCTCAACTGCTAATTGATGTCTAAAAGAAGCAGTATTCAATGAAAGCTGCTTTTCCAAATCCTAAACACATTAGAAATAAACCATCAATAAGATTATTCAATATTTGCAATCATATAATATTGAATTAGAAATTAGAGGAAGGCAACTGAAATATTAGCAAATGTTGCCAAAAGGATGAGAATCCTCAATCTCAGTTATAACACTCACAATTTTTCACAGTCACACAGAGCCCTGCTATGTAGTTCTAAGCAATCTATGTTGCATGTTACCTGAGTTTTCTTATCCCTATCTTCCAATTTTTCGGTAAATGATGTTAATTTACACTGAAGTTCTTCTCTCTCTTCAACCTTTTTGTCTTCACAAAGATTTTGCAATGACCGCAAGGCATCCGTTGTTTTCAAGTGTTCTGCCTGAACGTCTCTCAGCTTCTTGGAAGCCTTGCTCTCTTTTTCCTGAGATTTCCTGAGATCTGCTCTCAGAGTCTGCCCTTCATTAGCGTGCGTGGCCAAAAGATCAGGCAGGTTAATCTCTGCATTTTATGTATTTACTGATTGCTTTTACATGTCGGGACTGGAGACGCTTCAAGATTTTATTTTCCATAGTAAAAGTCTCCAATTTATTCTGCAGGACAGCCACTTCGTTTTTCAGTTCTTTAATTGTATGGTCTGTTGCTGACAATAGATGACAAGCTATCTTATTTTTCTTCTCCTGAGCATTGATGGTATGGCCAGTAATAAATGTTTTCTTCTGCTGAAGTTTCTTTTTAGGCAATGTTTTGCCTCCTACATTAAAAAAAAAACAAAAAACAAGATGGCATGTAAGATTGAGCAAAGTAAGAATCACATCATTTTACATAAGCCTCAGAGCCAAATGCTCAAATATGTATTCACAGCATAGATTCACTTTCTTTTATCTAACTTTTTGAGTCAATCTCTGATGCAACTATATGTTGATTGACCTATTGTGAAAAATCATACCGGAACTCTCATAATATTAACTTCCGTAAAACATAACTGCTATACTCACATAATATGCTAGGACAGTATTTAGAAAGCTTTAAGATGCATTGACTTCAACTCCTAGAATTCCTCAGCCAGACAGGCCTAAAGCAGGATTGGTAGCCCAGCACCCTAACCACTCCACAAAACTGCCTAGACAGACAGGTGGATAGATATACATATACATACATACATACCATATCCAAATAATGATAAAACAATGAACGTAATAGACTGAAAAGAATGGAAGTGTGACCATTAAAATTTGCCAACTCTTTTTTTTTTAATACTGGAACCTCTCCCCTGGCCCTTGGCTTATTTATTGAAACTATGTGACACTGACATCTGTATGACCATGATAACTGGTGAACTACATCCATCGCTACAAGTCCCATTCCTCGATAGAGGAATTACTGACAGGGTGTGGAAAGCAGTCCATTAATATATTAATCAACTGCATACAATTTAAACATTTTATCAACATTCATATGGTTTCCAAAATTATAGTGTAGTCTCTAGAGTATAGAAGTGTCAGGATAGCTAAGCAAAAGCGGAGTTATAGGACAACTGCTTGATTTTTAGGAAAGGCTTAGCTGCCATTAGTTCGGTTGAAATCTGCCAAGCACAGCGAATGCAGTAGTGTTCAAAGTGAGCAACTGCCTTCTTACCTTTTGTATGGACATCATTTTTCTTTTTCTTTTCTGGTAAATTCCGCTCATTAGTTTTTGGTGTTTGGGGCAATGGGATGATGTAGCTGCCACTCTCTTCACTTATGGAGGTTTCAGAGGCATCCGAGTGAAAATCTTCGTGATAGCAGTTCTGAGAAGTTCCACAGATGTTCTCTTCTGGACAAATGCTGTTCCTGCTGCCATTGACAGCTGTTCTTGAAGCATTATCATGAAATTCATTAGAGTAGGTAAACTGAGCACTTCCAGACTTGCTGGAAAGTTTGCTACAGCTACTGTCTTGACTGTTGGTGCTCTTACTAATCCTATCTGGAGAATGGTTTGAGCTTCCTCTTTTTCTGCATTGCCCAGATGTTTTATCCTCTTGGACAGTAGGATGAAGGGCTGTATGATTAGAAGCCATCATTCCACCAATGGCAGGGAAGTCTATCAATTACACTTTAAATTTCCCCAAGGAAATGGCACTGTAGTCAGAAAAAGAAACAATGTATGATGTAAACATTTACTTAAGCCTTCATCCAATACATTTAATACATCCAATATGGTTTTTAAAGATTCTGAAGGATAAATATTCTGGAAGTGTGAAAGTTTTGACCAGTGTCGCCCCCCTCCATTTTCTATCAATACAGGCCTTGAGTAACATGTTTAAAATGCATGTTATTTTCATGTTAGGAGACACGTTTCAAATACTACCTGTTCCTAGAAATGTTAGTGTGCAAAAGGCCTAACATAAATTATTACATTTCTTGAGGGCTTCCGGTTTGACTTTCGTCGCCACCAGACGGTCCTTTGAGACCGCCAGCCCCGTAGCTCGTAAAGAGCCGCCTTTACATTTGAAAGGCGGCTCGAAAAACTCCATTTCCATAAGGAAATGTGAGATAGAGCAGGCGGGGGCAGGTAGAGCCCTCTGTGAAGTCCGCAGAGTTTTTTCTTTACTCTTGGGGACGAAGCAGGATGAGGCTCCCTATTTCCCTCGCCACTGCTCCGGGCTTCGGGAGACCTCTGCTTCTTGCAGAGCCAGGCGACGAGATCAAGCCTTTCAATGAAAATAACAGATTGCTTAATTAAAGAGGATGAGATCTGGGACCCTAAATTGCAAGTATTTTTAATGATTTTATAAGCGTTTCTAAGCGAAGGAAAAAAAAAGCTTAAAATGGCGACCGCTGAGGCTTGAGAAGTAGCCGAAAGTGAAAGACCTTCCGTAAGAAGTTACAAAGTAGCGGAGCAAACAGTGCTGGCTAGAATAGAGAAAAGAAAAAATTTCTATTCTAAGTTTCTTTTTTTCCTTGGAGATCTGATACTGATCTTGTTGGGGAGAAGTCCTCTTTCTTCAAAAAGAGTTTGTCTGTGTGGCAGGATGGTGTTAAAATTAACAAAGCCAGACAAACAAGCAGCGGGGGGGGGGTTTCCCCCATTTACAATTGTGTGAGCAAGTTTCGAGTTTACAGACCCAGAAGGATGGTTTTAATTTAAAAGAATTTGTTTTAAAGGAAATGGCAAGACATGACGAGATTGTGAACCAGAATTTTGAAAAATTTAAGCAGGAAATTAAAGAATTCATACAATTAAAGTATGATAACTTACAAAGAAAGATTGTAACAGTGACTAATGCTTTTTCAGAAATAGTTATAAAGATGGATACAAATATCAAGTTATTAGAGTCTAAAATGGAGAAAGTTGATGATAAGATTTATAACTTGAACAATAAAATACAAAGAATGGAAAATGATCTGATAAACATTCAAGACAATAGCTCTGAAGTAAAGTCTAAAAAGCAAGCTGATCACGAGATTTACAATATGGAAAATAAAACAAGGGATTGAAAGAGAAGTTACAATGATACAATACAGGCTCACAGAATTTGCGGTTAGAATGAGAGGGTTACAGGAAAACTATAGAGAAGATTTAAGAAAAATATCTGCTGAAGTTCTGGCTGGGATTTTAAAGATTCACCCAGAGGAGGTATCTTGCAAGATCGAGAAGGCCTATAGAGTAAATTCTTGGATTGCAAAGCAAAGGCAATTGCCTAGAGATGTGGTGATTTATTTTACAGATAAAGAAATAAGAAATGATATTGTGCAAAAATCTTTTAATTCTACTTTACAACTGTATGGAAGAAAGATCTGGATATATAAAGAGTTGCCACCCAAGATATTAAAAGATAGAAAGAAATTCGGATTTTTGGTGACTGAGCTAAACAAACAAAACATCTCATTCAGGTGGGATGTCCCAGTTGGCATAATATTGAGATATCAAGGAGAAAGATATCAACTAAATTCTGTTGAAAAAGCGGAAGAATTTTACTATAAGATTCTTAAAATGGGTTCAACATCTTCATGTATAATACATGAGTGGAATAAAGAAAAGCAAAATCAGCAAGAGATAGAAATTCAGGATAAGCAGAAAGAGATGGAAGTAATGGAAACATAACAAGTTACAAAGGACTTTGTAGATTTACAGCTTCTGGATTCTCCTTCAGAGGTTACAGCTGGACTATTTATAAATAGAAGAGAGGCGGCTTTGGATTCTAATCTGATGATCCATCAAGTTACAGATCAGCATAGAAATCAATCAGTTGACATACAACTCAAAGAAAAGAAACCAGAATGGAGACTTAAGCCACAAAAGCAAAACCAACAAGATCAAGTTATAGATCAGCATGAAAACCAAACAGTTGATACACAATTTATAGAAAGGAAATCAGGATGGAGATCTAACCCACAAAAAGTCAAGAAAAGAAGAAGCAGGTCTCACAAAAACAAAAACTTTTAAACTAAACAACAGTGCAATGCCAGTTATCTAAGAGACGATTGAATATATGAAAAGATAGCTGAGGCAAAGTATTGATCTATATTATCCTGAGGACAGTGACAGACCTCTGCAGTGCTGTACTTTTGGGATGTCAAAAGGGCCTTAAACTGAATGGATTGGAATTATCTATTTTGGATTGTTTGATAAATGTATTACGTTTATGTTGAGCTACAAGGCAAGAGAGTTATGGGATTGGGGCACGCAGAAGATCTGGTTGTTACCCTATTATGGTGGTTGGAATTAATAATTTAGATGAAAGACACTACTATAGACACTATATGGAATACTAATATAAAGTCACTCGGGTGGTTGTTTTTTATATATCAAGACATCTATGGTTGATGGGGGCAGATGGTAATTGAAGATACCGAACATACTGTTGGAATTAGGATGTGATGTTACCCTAATATGGGTGATGGAGTTAACAATCCAGCTGAAAGACACTACAGAAGATATCATATGGATTATAAGTTTAAAGTCATTTGAGGATTTTATTTATATAAGGGAATATTTCTTAGTGGTGTGGGCAGAAGAATAGAGAGATCAAGAACTATTATGTATGGTAGTTCTGTGGGAATGTGGGTGGAAATAGGTTAGCTTACTGATTGTTTAGTTGAAGAAAAGGGATATTATGTTTAGATATGAATATATGTAAAAGATTTGAGTTAAGAGATATATCTATGGGGTGGAGGAATAAATGTTAAATTAGGATTTATTATATAGTTTTATAGTGGAAGGTTGCTTTGAAATGTCATATTAATATATAAAAAAAGATTTGATTTAAGAGATATATGTATGGGGGAGGAGTAAAAGAGTAGATCATGAGTAGAAATTATTAAATTGGGGGATATAATAATATTACTATGCTAAATTAGGAGTTATTATATAATGTTATAGTAGAATGTTATTTCGAAATGTGTAGTATAAGGGGGATATAATAATATTATTAGAAAGAAAGGGTCAGCATATGGGGGATGGAGCAAGGGGATGGTATTATATAATCTGTTATGAATTTGGGTTGTACCCTGAAGAAGCCACAGGGGGAGGGGAGGGCAAGGGGGGGTTAGGGAGGAGGGGGGGGAATTTGTATTTGAAAAACTTTTTTCAATAAATTATTATATTTCTCCAATCTACAGTTTAGATAGTTAGAGGCTGAAAGAAAGTCCTACAGAACAAGATAGGCTTCTGTCAGATCAGCATTTAGTGAATAGCATCTTGGATGCCTCCCAGGGTAAGAAAAATGTAATTTAAGCATCTAAATACCTTAAGTTTTAGCTTCAGCGACTCGATTTCTACGTGTAAATTTTCTGTGATTGACTGAGCTTCATAGTCTTTTTTTTTCTCAACTGCTAATTGATGTCTAAAAGAAGCAGTATTCAATGAAAGCTGCTTTTCCAAATCCTAAACACATTAGAAATAAACCATCAATAAGATTATTCAATATTTGCAATCATATAATATTGAATTAGAAATTAGAGGAAGGCAACTGATATATTATCAAATGTTTCCAAAAAGATGAAAATCCTCAATCTCAGTCATGATAATCACAATTTTTGAAATGGGAATCAACCCACATTGTGAAAGAAAAATATCGAAAATAATGTGTATAACCAAAAATAAGTTCATATGATGCTCACAATCTGTTTTGCAGATTAAGGAGAAAATAAATAGATAGATAGATTTTGTTCATATCAATTAAATTAATTGAATATGCTTCATTTTTGCCTGGGTAGGATGCAAAGTAAGGTAGGTTTAGTCAATATACAGGTTTAAATGTGCTGGCTACCCTCATGTCATCAGAGATGGACTTTTTCATCTGATTAAAGCACGAGTCATTCTTTCCAAAATCTCAATTTTCTATACAACTGAGCTGAATATGCAAAAATAGAAGGAAGTGTCAAGAGCAAGAAGTTTTGCACAACATTCACTCAAAACATCCAGGTAGTATTTTTCAACATTCATCTCTGATCGTGTGGTGAAAATAAGATTCATAAGTAATTAGCTTAGCTAGCTTGCCCGTACCAATTTTAATACATAATTCCACCTTTCTAACTATAATATTCTCCTGGTTTTCCTACATTCCTCTTTTCCAATAATGTCTTTTTTATATCTAGAGATTTTAATTTCATTGATTCATAAGAAAAAATATCACTAAAACTTTCCTCATTGCATAGTTGTGCAGCTTCTCTTTGTGTTTCAGAACTGATACAAGATTTGTAAAAAGCTGGCATTATACAAAAACATCCTATTGGATCTGTTTTCCTAGAGCTGAGCTGAAGGAAGAAGTCATTGGTAAAAATCATACAGTTCCCAGCTGGACAATCTAGAGACTGTGTCAGTAAAGTAAACCTAGACTGGTCATCGCCTATCATGATTATGTTTTATTGGTAAAGATGGCGAAAAGTATTCTACCAATGATGTATGAAATCCTTATCTGTTCCTTTAAATAACAAACTCCCACAGAACTGAAGTGTGATTTCTGGGTAACAATTTAAGAATCTGAATAGGAATGGATTTCCTTGTAAAATAGAACTTTGAGGAAGCTATTCTTGTTTCTAAATTTTGTATGCGTTCCTGCTTGAGCAGTTTTTCTGTTAATTTCAATCAAATGAATCTTGGGGACTTGAGGATGGTGCCTGTAGAAAATGGTCCCAATTGCACACTGAAGCAAGTCAGCTTAAAGATTTTCTTTATAGGGGTCTCACAGAGGGATTTAGGACGTTTAGGCACAAACACTTGGCTGCGCATACTTTGCCCCCAGCCATCTGCCTCAACCCATTTACAGCCAGCTTTCCTCCTTTGCTGGCCCTCTCCCAGCCATTGTGCACAACCAATGGGCCAATGGCCTTCACCATTCACCCTATGTCTCTGCCCATTTGCCCAAACATCATTTGACCTGGGCCTTTGGTTGCACGGGACAAATAGCCCCCAGCCATTTGGATGTTAGGCAGAAGCAATGGTACTGCAGGGGCAGTGTGCTGTGCAAGATTTTTTTAAAAATAAGTACTGTGGCTGCTCCACAAGTTATGGGGCCTCGCAGATCTGTTACCAGGACCAGAGGGAGGGGGAGTAGCAGCCGCTGGGGCCACTGGGTGGCAGTCAAGTGTGAGTGTGTTCGGGGACCAGGGGCTTCACAAAGATAGCTTGGTTTACAACTCAGTTAGCTCCAATGAAAGAGGAAAGGAAGAGCAAGGCTGGCGCAGCTTCTGGCATTGTGGAGGAAGGACTAGGAGGTTGCACAGATGAGTGGCAGGGCTTGCATGCTGAAGCAAGTCAGCTTAAAGCATTTCTTTATAGAGGATCTCACAGAGCCCTGTTATGTAGTTCTAAGCAATGTATGTTGCATGTTACTTGAGTTTTCTTATCCCTAGCTTCCAATTTTTGGGTAAGTGATGTTAATTTACGCTGAAGTTTTCCTCTCTCTTCCAAGTTTTTTGTCTTCACAAAGTTTCTGCAATGCCTGCAAAGCACCTCTTGTTTTTGAGAGTTGTGCCTCAATGCCTCTCAGCTTCTTGGAAGCCTTGCGCTCTTCTTCCTGAGATTTCCTGAGAAGTATTCTCAGAGTCTGCACTTCACTAGACTGCATGGTCAAAAGATCAGGCTGGTTAATTTCTGCATTTTCATATTTCATGATTGCTTTTAAATTGTGGGACTGAAGATGCTTCAAGATTTTATTTTCTGTAGTACAGGTCTCCAATTTATTCTGCAGAACAGCCACTTCGTTTTTCAGTTCTTTAATTTAATGGTCTCTTGCTGACAATAGACGGCAAGCCATGTTATTTTTCTCCTGGACATTGATGGTATGGTCAGTAATAAATGAGTTCTTTTGCTGAGGTTTCTTTTTAGGCAACATTTTACCTCCTGCATTAAAAGAAATATCAAGATTGCATATAAGACTGACCAAAGAAAGAATCACATAATTTTAGATAAGCCTCAGAGCCAAATGCTCAAATATGTATTCACGGCATAGATTCGCTTCCTTTTATATAACTTTTTGAGTCAATCGGATGCAACTATTTGTTGATAGACTTATTCTGAAAAATGACAACCTAAGCTCAGTGGTGGGATTGAAATAATTTAACAATCATTTCTTCTTAGTGACTGGCTGGGTGAGCATGGCTGGCTGGGTCATGTGCTAAGTGGGCATGGCGACCTTTATGCCATTCATGTGGGTGGTGTTTGTATGGGCCAAGTGGGGTAGGGGAGGGAATCCAGGAGTCTCCGGTGGGTGAGGTGGGAGGGAAGAAAGATCCAATCTCTCTCTCTCTCTCTCTGTGTGTGTGTGTGTGTGAGAGAGAGAGAGAGAGAGAGAGAAAGAGAGAGAGCACAGTGCCGCCAGCCTGATATAACTCTCTGAGATTGGATTGGATCGCTCTCTCTCTCACACACACACGCACACACACAGAGGTTGGGTCAGATCTCTCTCTTTCTCTCCCTCTCTCCCTCCTTTAGAATGTCTGCCAGGCTGAGGGAAAGTACATGTGCTATGGCATGCTGTGGACGCCCCTCACTCGTCCCTTTGCCTGGCTTCCCTCGTCCCACTGCTTGTGTTCTCCCTCCCCAATCTAGCTTGACACAGACGGAAGCTCACAATTGCCCTTTCCAAGCCCACTGTCAGTGAAGCAGGGCACCGGTGAGGGCTGGCTTTTTGCCTAGGTTTGTTTGGCTGTTGGAGGGAAAATGGCTTCCTCCCCAGGCCCTTGTCTATTTCCCTCCAGGAGAGCTTAAAAGAAAATGATTAAAAAGGGAAAGAAAAAAATATCTTAGAAAGGAATCAAAGCAGTATTATGTTGATTTAATGGAATGGCATTAGTAGTAGAAGTTGTATATAAGAAATAAATTGGAATAAATATATATGGCGTTGAAAGCGCTACATTAATATATTAAGGAAGAACATACAATTTAAATGAGTTTAATAACATTCATATGACTTCCAATAATATAGTGTACTTTCTACAATGTAGAAGTGTCAGGGTAACTCAGCAAAAGAGCTGAGTGAAGCTCTTTTGTGAAGTGTGGTGAAGTTGCCCCACTCTTCGCTTGTGGAGGTTTTAGAGGAACCTGAGTGAAAATCTTTGTAATAGTACTTCTGAGAAGTTCCACTTTTGTTCTCTTCTGAATAAATGCGGTTCTTGCCATTGACAGCTGTTCTTGAAGTGTTATCATGAAAGTCATTGGAATTGTTAAACCAAGCACTTCCAGACTGGCTGGAACTTTTGCCACACCTACTGTCTTGACTGTTGTTGGTGCTCTTAGTAAGCCTACCTGGAGAATCGTTTGAGCTTCCACTTTTTGAACATTGTCCACATGTCTTCTCCTCTTGGATGGTATGATGAAGGACTGTATCATCAGAAGCCATCATTCCACCAATGGCAGGGAAGATGGTCAATTTTACTTTAAATTTCCCAAAGGAAAAGGCACTGTAGTCAGACAAAGAAACAATGTATGATGTAAACATTTACTTAGGGCTTGATCTCATAGGTTTAAAAGTTGTTTGTTCTGATTTTGTACCAAAAAAGATCACCACAATTTTGATCCTTTGCATTATATCATTCACTTCTTGAAGAATTGATGTGTTTATTAATTAATATGCTTTTTTCTTAGCATTCTCATTCGCAGAATACAATGACTACAGAGCCCTGAGTTCTTTCAAGGAGCTAAAAAGACTAAAATAATAATATTACATTTCACAGAAACCCTGGACTGACATTCAAATAATAGAATAACAGAGTTGGAAGGGACCTTTGATGTCTTCTAGTCCAAACCCCTGCTCAAGCAGGCATACAACATTATTTCTTTCACTCAGCTACTCATGGAAAACATCAGACAGAGAAAATATTTTCCTGATAAAGCAAGGAGCAAGTTATTCCTTCCTGGTTCAGAAACCCTCCAATATTTAAGATAAAAATAAAAAAGCAGTCTGAGGTTTTTAGAGCGGAGGGAATGAAAAAGAAGAAAAGATTAGTCCCCATTGCTGAAATAAATTCACATGCAGATAAAAAAAAAAAAATGACCTAGGAAATTTTGAAAAAGACAAAGGACAAAGCAGTTGGAAAGAAGGTTCTGAGCCCAACATGTATTTAAATATATATTTAAAATAAATTTAAAAAGCACAAAAGTGAAAAAGAAGTTTCACTTCTTTAAAAAGAAATAAAAAAGGAATGAATAAACTGTAAAAATATTTACAGACCCCTTGCATCCTGGACATAAACTGTTTCAACTCCTACTCTCAAAATGACACTATAAAGCACTGCACACCAGAACAACTAGACACCAGAACAGTTTTTTCCCGAATGCCATCACTGTGCTAAATAAATAATTCCCTCAATACTGTCAAACTATTTACTAAGTCTTCACTACTATTAATCTTCTCATCGTTCCCACCACCCATCTCCACTTATGACTGTATTACTGTAATTTTGTTGCTTGTATCCTTACGATTTATATTGATATTGTTTCCTGATTGCTTATTTGTACCCTATGACTATCATTAAGTGTTGTACCTTATGATTCTTGATGAAGGTATATTTTCTTTTATGTACACTGAGAGCATATGCACCCAGACAAATTTCTTGTGTGTCCAATCACACTTGATCCAAAAAAATTCAATTCAGTTCTGTTCTATTCTATTCTATTCTATTCTACAAATGAAAGGAGAAAAAGGAAAAAAAACTAATTGAGGCAGTTAGTGCTCAGATATCATTGATGAGAAATTAACTATAAAAAACAGTACATTAAATTATTTTAACAACATGGAAAAAGATCCGAGTCTTTCACTTTGTTATTTAAAAATGCAGATCACACACATACACTCACACACAGATACAAACTAGAAAGAAGGAAAAAAAAACATAAAAATAGTTTCCAACTATTCTTTGTTATATAATATTGATAAACATTAACATTTTGACATATTTCTGACTTCGTTTAATTAAATCTGTCTGACAAGAAAATGTATTATCAGAATCACATGGTTTCAATGAGCCGTGTAATTATGTCCACAGATAATGCTTCGGTGGTACAAATCCCTACTTTGCTGACTGGCAGCAGGACATAATAGAAGTTGGCAACACAATTCAACTTGGAAGGGAAAAGTAGCTGCTTCATTTCCCGGGTCCCTTGGAGGAGCTCTTCTACCAGGCCTTTGTCTTCCAAGTGTTTTTGCTTCCCCTTAACTGTTGCTATCTTTGCTTACCCACAATCTGAACCAAGCACTCCTTGACTGCCCAGAAAACAGAATCTGATGTGCCCGCGAAGCGCCCAGGGTTTAAACGTCCTCCCCACAATGCTCAGGAAGAGGCTTCTACCTGAGATCCATTTATTCACATTACCGGTTCTTGGGCTTCGTTGGCAAAGAAGTGGCTGTTTAGATCTTTGCTACTACGGCAAATAGAGAACTTCTTCTCTGCGTATTATAGGACTTGTAGCGCAAAGTTGAATGGAAAGAAAAAGTAAAATGGCAGCCTACTCCCTTCCCTACGGCCTCACATGCTTGCCTGCCTTCCATGTGGCCTTCCCGGCAGTCCTCCACGCCTTTGCCTTCCAAGGTCAGGACACACATGGGGCCTGTGATGGGAGACGTGCTGTTTCTGGCCCGGCCCGGCCAGTGGGTGGGCAGACGGCCCTTCGGGGAGATGGAGCCGTTGCGATGGGGTTGAGGGGGCAGCGGCAGCAGCGGTGCTGTGGCAAGGCAAGCGGATTTCCCAGGGCTGCTGCACATGTGCACCACATGTAAAGGAAGGCAGACACCGCAAAAGCCACGCAGGAAACGTCCCGGGGAGTTCCAGGACTCCCCGGCGCCGCCGATGCCTGCAGCGGCAAAAGCTGCGTAGGAAAAGTTTCAGGGAGTTCCGGGACTCCCTGCCACCACTGCCGCAGATTCCTGCCGCAGCAAAAGCCGTGCAGGAAAAGTTTCGGGGAGTGCTGCCTCAAGCTCCCGTTTCCACCCCTGCCTCCGCCTGAAGCTCCTGTTTTGGGTGCTGTTGCTGCTGGTGTCGCCGCCGCCAGGCATTTTATCTCAGGCCTCCAGTCTCACTCTCCTAGATTTTGAAGGATGGAGGGAGAGAGAGAAAGAAAGAAAGAGAGAGAGGGAGAGAGAGAGAGAGACAAAGAAAATGAGAGAAAGAGAAAAAAAAGAAAGAGGAAGGGAGAGTCAAGAAAGAAAGAGAAAAAGAAAGAAAGAGAAGGAAAGGAAAAAGGAAAGGAAGGGAGAGAGAGTGAAAAGAAAGAAAGAGACAAAAAAGAGAAAGAGAAAGAAAGAGAGGAAGGGAGAGACAAGAAAGAGAGAAAGAAAGAAGGAAGAGGAAAGGAGGGAGGGAGGGAGAGAGAGAGAGAGAGAAAGAAAGAAAGAAAGAATGAGTTGGAAGGAAGGAACTACAAACCCTGGCACTAGATGTGGCTTCAGAAGACGCTTTGATACCATATTGTTTTTGTTGACCCTCTTTTCCACTTACAGAGCTAGTTTACTGTTTTTCTTTGAAATAAATATTCAAAAACATTTAACCTACTAATGCCTCAATTAATGTAACTTTATTGGTATCTATTTTTATTTTTGAAATTTTGAAATGCAGTAGCTGCTGCATTTCCCACCCTAGGCTTATACTCGGGTCAATAAGTTTTCCCAGTTTTTTGTGGTAAATTTAGGTGCCTCGGCTTATATTTGGGTTGGCTTATACTCGAGTATATAAGGATAGTTATAAAAACCCTCCCAAAATGTTACTATAAGATGCATGTTACGAGTAGGCAATTATTAGCAGAAACAAAACTTAACAAATGATCAGAAGTTAAGAATGATAAAAGTATTGTTCAGGTGTTCCATACCTCATGGAAGGTCATTGGACTTCCTTCTGGCTCACACTTCCACAGAGTCTTTTAGGCTACTATTTACTTGTGCTGCTTTGCTGACTTTAACAACTATAAAACCCCCAAAAATAAACAAAGAAACATGACAGATTCATGACTGACATGAGTGATAGGCAAGTGGCATTTTACTTACATGTTTTAAGTCGGGGTATCAAACTCAAAGCCCACAAGGCTGGCCTGGAAATATCAAAGGGCCAGCCTGCAAAACAGGCCGCGGAAGGTCGTGTATGGCCCGTTTTCGACCTCCACGGCCTACTGCAGCACCCTCCATATGGCCCATTTTTGGCAAGCAGAGTGCTGCAGGAGGCCAAAAATGGGCCATGCAAGGCCCCACGTGCCCCATTTTGGCCAGCTGCATATTGCAGGAGGCGTCCGTCCGATTCCCCCCCCCACTGCTCCCCGCCCCACTGCCAGCCCATGGAGGAGAACTACAATGCTGATCTGGCCCTCGAAGAAATCCAATTTGACACCTCTGTTTTAAGTGATTTAATTCTTAGGCTGTTATATCACTTTTATTGAATTTTATTGGTTACTAATGCAAATAGCTAGTTTGAGTTGGTGAATGAGGCATCAGACTTTGGCTCAGAAATTAACTGGTGAATTTTAGGATAGTCACTCTCTAGAAAGAAGGCGTGTGATAGGAGAGACTGTTCCTGGGAGGGATGAGTTAAAAAAACGAAGAGTCTATACTTCCAGCAAGGTCACCTAAGGCAAGATGATCAAAACATACATTCATCCACACTTAGGCAACATCCACAGCTTTGCTACCATGCACTAGCCCAGGGATGGAAGCCACCAAATCTGGGATCAAAAATAGGCTGGACAGGCTTTATCCCCCAGTGTTGGTGGGGAGGGGCTTCCCATGCAGGCCCAACTCCTTTGTTGGTGAGACTTGGGGAGGGGCTTGCCATAGGCTTAGGGCCAACTTTTATCCTTTGCTTTCCTTAATGACTCAGTTTCTTTTCCAGGCTTTTCTCCACACTGCATGCATACATACATACATACATACATACATACATACATACATACATTTATTTATTTATTTATTTATTTATTTATTTATTTATTTATTTATTTATTTATTTTTTATTTTATTTTATTAAATTTTTTATACCGCCCTTCTCCCGAAGGACTCAGGGCAGTGAACAGCCAGGGTTAAAATACATACAGTATGAAAATTAAAATAATTTAAAAAATAATTAAATCAATTTGTCTTCCCAATTTTAAAACCCCTTACCCATAAAATTAATCAATTAAAATCTTAAGCCAGCCTGGCTCGCTGAAACAAGAAAGTCTTCAGAGCCCGGCGGAAAGTACGGAGGTCCGGGATCAGTCGTATCCCTGGGGGTAGTTCGTTCCAGAGGGCGGGTGCCCCCACAGAGAAGGCTTTTCCCCTGGGGGTCGCCAGTCGACATTGCTTGACCGACAGGACCCTGAGGAGACCCTCTCTGTGTGAGCGTATTGGCCGGTGGGTGGTTATCGGTGGCAGAAGGTAGTCTCGTAGATATCCAGGCCCTAAGCCATGGAGCACTTTAAAGGTGAGAACCAAAACCTTGAAGCACACCCAGAAGACCACCGGAAACCAGTGTAGCTCATGTAGGAGAGGTGTTACATGGGAGCGCCATGTAACATCTGAAAGTGGTGAAGGCATTTCGGTGACTAGTCTGACATGTTCCCTGCATAATGGTTGCTTTGCATTCAGAGTTATGATGCTTCTCCCAAAGTACTTATGAGCCAATTCCAGAGTTCTGATGCCATCCCCCCCCCCCAATGTCATATGACTCTCTTTATGGTGAATTGCATTGGGATTTTTTTGCTAGTAACCAGCCTTTTTGGCCAGTTTCTAGAAAAAAAAATGGCCACAAGAATGCATTGACTTGCTTAACAACCACAGTATTTGCTTAATGATCACTGCATTTGCTTTACAACTGAGGCGTTCACTTAAGAACCATCACAGAAACTGTTATAATATCAGGTTTGTCTTGTGGGTGCCTTGATTTACGACCATCATAACTTATGATGAAATTCTGAGCTTCATTGCAGAGATAATTTGACAGCTGTGTATATTGGATAGCTGCAGCAAGATGTTAGATAATCTCTTCAGTGGCAATGGCAGGGGGACTATTTCATACTGCATGGGACAAGGCAATGAAAAACCATGATTTAATTCATTTGTATAATGGCAGCATGGCATGAGAGCATAAAACAATTTCATTTAAATTCAGTTCAATTAAAAGGCTCTAGAAGTCAAGCAAAATACTACACCATGTGTACACAAAACATATATATCAATACAAACAACACTACATAAAAAGAAAAGGTAACTTTAGTCACATATCCGTTATCTTATTGACGGTACATTTAAAAAAAATTTTTTTTTGTTATCATTCAGAATTTTACATTTGCCCTCATTTCTCCGAATTATCCAATCATACCATCTATTCCATGCTATATAATATTTTGAGTCTGCCTTATCTTTTAATTTGAATGTTAATTTATCCATTTCCACACAATTATAGATTTTTTGAATTATCAGTTGTTCGGTTGGCAGATGATCAGTTTTCCAAAATTGAGCTAGCGCCAATTTGGCTGCAGTGACTATATGTAGTATTAAATACTTTATTTCTTTCTTATAATTTTCTTTAATCATCCCTAGTAGAAAAATTTCTGGTTTGAGTTCTATTTTTTCCGATGTTATTTCTATTAGCCAAATCCTTATTTTTTCCCAATACTTCCTAATTTTGGGGCAAAGCCACCAGACACGGAAAAAAGTGCCCTGTGCCTGCTTGCACTTCCAGCAAGTTGGACTTAAATTCAAATACATTTTTGCTAATCTCGAAGGGGCCAGATACCATCTATACCACATTTTATAGTGGTTCTCTTTATAAACCACTGATTTTGTTATAATATAATTATTTTCCCACACTCTTTCCCAGTCCTCCAATTCTATGTTATGTCCAATGTTTCTTGCCCATGCTATCATTTGTCCCTTTACTAATTCTTCTGCTTCTTCCAATTTGGTTTTAATTCAATTCCTCCTTCCTCTTGGTCTTTTTTGTATCTTGTTTTTATCTGTAAATAGGGCCACCAGTCTATCTGTATTCCTTGCTCTCCGAGTTCCTCTTGTGTTTTTAGTATTGCCTGGGGATCTAATATTTCATAATATCTTACCATTTTTGAATTGCCAGGGTTTTGGGGTGTATCATCGCCTCCATTGTGGATAGCCATCCAGGAACTTTCATATAGTGTTTACTTTGAATCGGTTTTCTCTGGCTGACCTTTGCGCATCTGGTGTGCATAAATATTTGTTATACTTACATCTCTTTCTCTTTCCTAAAGAAATGGATGATTAAATTTATGTTGATAATATAGTTTATTGTGTTAATCTCAGTTCTTCAGAGATCATACATTTCACTCCATCAGTCCCCCCAGTATCTCATTTTATTTATCTGTATTTTAAATGTTTGCTTATGCATAATTTGGCCAATACTTCCTTTTCTAAAGATTCTGAAGGATATCTTTTTTTTTCTGGAAGTGAAGGTTTTGACCAGTTATTTTTTATTTTTACAATTCATAAACCATTAATTAAATTTGACCTTAAAGTTCCTTCCAAAATACTTTGACACTTCCAAAACACATAGTTATGACATTAGCAAAATATACAGTATTAAATGTGTACTATAATTACAATGTAAAATATAAACTGATTCTCAATTTTCTATCAATACAGGCCTTGATTAACATGTTTCAAAAGCATATTATTTTCATGTTAGGAGACACTTTTCAATCTGTTTCTAGAAATGGTAACATGTAAATAGCTTAACATAAATTAATACATTTCTACAATCTATAGTTTAGATAGTTACAGGCTGAAAGAAAGACGCACCAAACAAGATAGGCTTACCTCAAATGAGCATTTAGTGAACAGCATCTTGGACGTCTTCTGTGGTAAGAGAAATGTAATTTAAGCATCTAAATACCTTAAGTTTTAGCTTCAGTGATTTGTTTTCTACTTGTAAATTTGTGGTGATTGACTGAGCTTCAATGATCTTTTTTTTTAACTGCTAATTGATGACGAAAAGAAGCAGTGTTCGATGAGAGTTGCTTTTCAAAATCTTAAACACATTAGAAATAAACTATCAATAAGATTATTGAATTTTTACAAACATACAATATTGAATTAGAAATAGCAAATGTTTCCAAAAGGATGAAAATCCTCAATTGCAGTTATAATACTCAAAATTTTTCAAACAGATATAGGCCCACATTTTGAAAGAAAAACTGAGAAAAGAATCTGTGTAATCAAAAATAATGTCATATGATGCTTACAAAATGTTATGCAGATTAAGGAGAAAAGAAATAGATAGAGATCCAGTTGCAAGTTACAATATATACTTTTAATTTCTATTTATTGGTGGAAGAAATAACTATTCCCAATCCTTAAATTAAGATCGCTATAGTCGATAAATGTAAATAAGAGAACATTAGATTTTATTCATCATAACAATAAAGCAAAGAAGTATTTTTTATTTAATATACCAACATTAGAAGTTTTACTGTACTCTTCAGATGATAAACATAATGCTGACATAAAACTGTGTGGAGAAGGAGGAGGAGAAGACAAAAGTGAAATTTGGTTCATTTCAATTTTAATAAAGCCCTAATATGCTTTATTTTTTGCCTTCTATGATGCTAAGTAAGGTTGGTTTAGCAATTATATCGTTTTCAATGTGCTGCCTAGGCTCATGTCATTAGTGATGGAATATTTCAACTGACTAGTTAAAGGAAGAGTCATTTTTCCCAACATCTCAATTTTTTATAAAACTGAGTCTAATATGCAAAAATGAAAAGAAGTGTGAAAAGCAACAAGTTTGGCTCAACATCCATTCAAAACACCCAGGTAGTGTTTTTCAACATTCATCTCTGATCATATGGTGAAAATAAAATTCATAAGAAATTACCTTAGCTACGCTGCCCATATATCTAGAGATTTTGATTTCATTGATTGATAGAAGTAATTAATCACTAAAATCTTCCTCATTACATAGTTGTGTAAAAAGTCATACAGGATAAAAACTCATACATACTTGGGAGGAGCTTCGCTCAGGGCCAACTTTTGTCCTTTTCTTTCCTTTTCCAGGCTTTTCTCCATACTGCTTACATGGCTTTGGCCTAGTCTCACATTTTCCTCACTTAACCAATAGTTGCTTTGCCTTCAGAGTTATGATGCTCCTCCCAAAGTACTTATGAGCCAATTCCAGAGTTCTGATGCTGCCCCCCCCACTGTCACATGACTCTCTTTATGGCCAATTACAATGTTTTTTGCTTATAGTCAGGCTTTTGGGCCAGTTTCTGGCAAAGAATAGACATAAGAATGCATTGACTTGCTTAACAACTGCAATATTTGCTTAATGGTCTTTTAAATATTAATCTTAATAATAATTTGCTTTATAACTGATGAGTTCACTTAACAAACACCAGAAAAGGGGTTGCAAAATCAGGTTGGTCACATGGGTGCTTTGATTTACGACCATCATAACTTGATTCTGAGCTCCATTAGAGTCATAATTTGAGGAGCATGATAGGAAGATAGAAAATCTCTTCAGTGTCAATGGCAAGGGGATTGTTTCATACTGCATGGGACAAGGCAATGATACAGTAAACCATTTCTATATTTCCTTCAAAAATATAGAGATACACGAGGTGGGACATGGCTATATGCACACTCCTTGTTAATTCAACCTACCGGTATATGTTGAATGCATAGGAGGGAGGTCATCGTACAAAATACCTTTAAAGAAATAGATTCCCCTCCTCCCCTCTTGGGCACCCCTTTCTCCCCTCACAACTGGTCAATCTAAAGTGACAACATATGCATGTGATTTATGCTTCTCTGTAGAAGAGTCTTCCAAAGCTACTTGCTTGCTTGCTCTTCAAGATGGCCATGATGCTGCTCCGAGGTCTGAGCCCATGATAAAAGATGTGTTCCCAATTCTCTCTCTCTCTCCCTCCTTTCCTCCCTCTCCCCCCTCCCTCCACACACACTTTGAAATTCTCCTAGGGTGCAGCCTTGTTAGGCCATATTTGCAACCAAAGTTAATGCCCAGAGTATTGGAGAAGTATTTTCTTTCTAGCTTGTCAATTCTTGTCAATTCCCCATGTAGTGAAAATACACAATATTTATTTCATACAGACGGAAAATGCACAGCATGTTAGTATTTTATTTTCAGCAACCTTGGTAAGGACTGCTTGAAGTATGCTAATCACATGTTTGGAAGAGAATAACAATCACGATTGATTACCTTAGTGGAGAAAACACTTTTGCTTAATAGAAATATGCAGTGGATACATTAAGGGGCTTCTTTCTACAGCTATACACATGTTACCTCCAATTTCTTATAAGGTTATTTTAAGCTTTCCTATGTTAATATCCTGGCTTTGCGATCTGTCACAGTGAGATGTCTAAACAAACTGGTTGCAGTCACACGTAATTGATTTCATTGCTTGCTGGCTTTCATGAGGACAACCTCAAGAAGCTTCCAGAGAAGAACAGTTGGCAAGACTAGATTAAAGAAGATTGGCGGTTGATTTTTTCTAGCCTGAGGTCCACCAAATAACAGCAGTAGCCTGTGAGAAATTTGTCTATATTTCCTGGTGTGTTAGAAATACCGAATTTTAACAGGACAATTGGTACACAACAATGTGAGTTTCAGTGGAAGTAAAATGTTCACTGTACTAGAGGCTCTTCCCTTGCCTTTCTGTCCTGTTCCTGTGTCTTTCTATATTTTCATACTGGGTATTTTTTTCTACCCTTGGGCAGATCTCTTCACTTTGTAATCCTGCAAACAATGTTATTTCAACAATAACTATTTAGAAACATGCATTATTTGTTAGAGAAAACAACAGTGAGAAAAATACATTTCATGTAGTCCTTGACCTACGACCATGTTAAGTGAATCTGGCTTCCGCATTGACTTTGCTTGTTGGAAGGTCGCATAAAAGGATCACATGACCCCAGTCATAAATATGAACCAGTTGACAAGCATCTGAATTTTGATGTTGTCACCATAGGGATGCTGCACTGGTCCTAAGTAAGAAAAATAGTCATAAATTACTTTTTTTAGTACCCTTGTAATTTTGAATGGTCACTAAATGAACTGTTGTAAATCAAAGACTACCTGTATTCTAACTAGTGTTACAAATTATTTAAACTGGCACCTTCAGTTAAAATAAACTGTCCAAGAAACATGCCACATTCTGTATTTCTTCTGAAGAGCAGACATTATTCACAATAACACAGAGCAGTTATAAATAAAGCATTATAGCACAATGTTTGACTCCTTAAGCAAAAGGTATGTCTTGCGATTTTTACATTTCAATATTTATAATCATTTATGGTTTTTACCCATGAATGTCTTCTTTGAAATGTTGTGCATTGGTAATATTTCAGGAGATGAACTCCTGTTTCAGGGACAAATTTTTTAGCCATGTTAACTAATTCTTTCACCTCTGTCAATTCCTAAAAGGTCACAGAAAAAAAGCAGATATCTGTAAGTGCATGTTACCTTTTACGTGTATAGGTGATAAAGTATCGTTAAATCTCCATTAATATCCTCCCTTCCATTTCGTTTTTCTCTGTCTAATAAAGTGTCTCTCTAAACTCTCCCAATATTGAATTAACATAGTTTTAAATTATAATCCAAAATAGGAAAACATAAATAAATATCTGCCTTGTTTTATTTATTTCTTAGATTTATATCTCCTTCAAGTCTTTCATATTTCTTCCAAAATTTCTTTACAATAGAAACTCCATATTATTTGATTGATAGTCACTAAAGCAAAGTTTCCTATGGTATTGCGCGTCAAGGTGGACTTGAACCTAGAATTCCTTGAGGTATTCAGCATTTTAATTAATTCCAGAGAACCCACGACTCCTTTGGTCATTGTTTCAGAGATACTACCTTACCACATTCCTCAATGCCTTCAACAATAACAGAGCTTCTAATGTACTGTCTTCACTAGAAAAGTTCTTAACAATTCAGGAAGATATTCAGAGATGTATCTGCCTTGAAAATAGGTATTTTGAATTGTATATGTTAGAGAAAAGTTATTTCTCATTTGCTGTGCCTATTAATGGCATTTGGAATGGACAAGTAAATAAGCCAATCAGAAAGCGGATAATGGGTTTGAAACTCTCTGGCTTTTATATTCCCTCCCCTAACTTTCACTGGGACAGTATAAAAGGAGATTCCTGACAGAAAGTTAGTTATCAGTTAGTAGTCAGTTAGTTGTCAGTTAGAGAGCAGTTCTGCAGTTCTAATGTCAGTTAGAGGGCAGTTAGAGGCCAGTTCTAAAGGGCAGTTCTCCAGTCAGTATGCAGTTGAAAGGCAGTTCTGAAAACAGTCATCAGTAAGTTGGCAGTTAGGAGGTTTCTGATTAGGAATCAGAGGTAGATCTGATGTATTAAAAGACTCCTTCTTCTGAGGAAGAATTGCCAGAACTATAGTCATATAGAGTGATTACATACTGTATATATATCTGACAGGATATTTAAGAAAAAGAATAACATACTATTTAGTATTTGAATAGATATTGTTTTTATTATTATGTAAGTAAAAACAGATTATTGTGAACTGCTAGTAAGTCTCATTTGTTATAGTAGATTGTTATAGAGATAAGGTTTTACGGTACATTGATTTAACCTCCATGACAGTAGAGCATGGTCAAATATAGGCAGCTGATGTTTTGAGTCGGTTTCTGCCAAAAAATGGCCATAAGAATGCATTGACTTCCTTAACAACCACAGTCTTTGCTTAATGATTTTTTTAATATTAATCTTAATTGTTTGTTTACCACTGAGGTGTTCATTTAACAAATACCACAAAAAAGGTTGTAATATAAAGTTGGTGATGTGGCATTACATATTCCATGGGACAAGGCAATGATAAACCACTCCTTTATTTCATTCAAAGATACAGAGGTACACAAAAGGGTGAGAAACCTATATGTTGAATGCATACGAGGGAGGTGGAACTAGAAAAAAATGAGTGTGGCTTTAATTTTGGAGGACGAAACAGCAGTAATGTGATCTTGATCTTGTATAGCTCTAGTGGGATGAGCAACTACATTATATCCATTTGACAGATATATAAACAAATGAGCGTGATATTAGCACATTTTGCTTCAACATGCAAAATACACTTAAGGAAATGATTCCCCTCCTCTGCCAGCTGAGCACCCCTTTCCCCCCTCACAACCGGTCAATCTAAAGTGAAACTACTAATATATTCTAGTTCTAATACTATCTAATATCTACTATCTAATATATCCAAGTTCTAATGTCTACTATCTAATTTGCCTAGTTCTAATACTATCCACTATCTACAATCTACTATGTCCTAATAATATCTAATGTCTACTATCTAATATATGCTAGTTCTAATACTAGTATCTGTTATCTAATATTGCTTAGTTCTAATACTATCTACTCTCTATTATATCCAAGTTCTAATACTAACATCTGCTATCTAATATCTCCTAGTACTAATACTATCCAGCATCTAATATTTACTAGTTCTATGGGCTTGACTGGAATCCCCCAATGCAAGCCATCATTTTTGTATCAAATGTCATCATGGGGTTTTTTTACTGGGCAAATGTTTGTTTTTTCCTTATCCTCCGTGCTTAAATTAGAGTTTGGATCATTGCTACTCAAGATGCGATTTGGACCAAACAGTTTTTCCAAAAGAAGCCTTTTCTTTTCCGGCAATATCACGGGACTGGTTTCTTCACTGGGAGTGAAAGCGGTGTCTTTTTGTCTTTTCTTGGGCAATTTGGCAAATGAGGGCTTATACTTGTTGACAGAATCACCTAAAAAGTCAGCTATATCACCCTGTTGCCTGTTCCTTCGTCTTCTATTGCACGTTATCTTTGGACCTGTTGAAGGATATCCCTGATGTAAATTTTGAATGGCCTCTGAATATACTTACTGTTCTTTAGAGGCAGATGGTGTTCTCTGCCTTTCTATTGTTAATATGTCACAAACAGCTTCTTTTACCACTTTCTCTTCTTCATTTTCCTGTTTTTCAACTGGTTTGGTCTTTAATATCTCAAATTCTGCATTCAATAGGACCAACCCCCCCCCTTTTTTTTTGCTTTAATTTATATGCCGCCCTTCTCCGGAGACTCAGGCCGGCTTACAATGCGTTAAGCAATAGCCTTCATACTTTTGTATATTTATACAAAGTCAGCTTATTGCCCCCACAATCTGGGTCCTCATTTTACCTACCTTTGAAAGGATGGAAGGCTGAGTCAACCTTGAGCCTGGTGAGATTTGAACTTGCGG